ATGATGAATATGGGATAGAATTTCAGTTGTATGTAATCATTGCTTCTTGTATACCATTTTTATGAATATTCTGAATATTTTGTATTAACTATATAATATTTTAGAACAGATGATTATATAGTGAATAGTTCAATAAATTCTTATGATTTGGGGAAAATATTTCTGGAACTCTAACAAAAAGTACACACTATAGGCACTTGCTAACTGTCTTGTTCAGTGACTATTCAAAGTTATGCCATTTGTAGTGTTCTTCAGTCACATGCTCACTAATGTATGCCTTGCCCTTTGGCTTACCTGATGTTTTTCTTATTTTTTTCTTTTACAGAATAGAGACATTGGAGAGGAAGGAATTACAAGAGAATGAGAAGGCACACAGTGAGGAATACAGATCTAAAGTATTGCAGTGGCCCTGTTAGTGCTGAGCACACTATACAAACAGCCCAGTGTATTACTCTCTTGTAATCCCTTCCTCTCCAATGAATGTAAATGCAGACATTAATTTCTTCTTGCTAATTATCCAGGGCCAGGTTAGCATTCCAAAGAGGGATTTTGCTAATCTTTGATTATTTGTTAGAGCCAGAGAAGTTTATGTATCAGCTTAATATGTTGACCCTTCAGTATGACGTCTATACCATGTTTCCCGAAAAATAAGATTTTGGGGGGTGGGCCTAATATAAGACCTATCCCCAAAACAAGCCCTAGTTTTGGGATGAGGCACATGCCTAAAAATCAGGGGTGGAGCTGCCTCATACCCCCGCACCCACTTACCAGGCCTCCCATGAATCAATACCTGCCTCTCCTCACTGGCCCACTTCTTTTGCAGCGTCCCCTGGTCTGCATTTTGCAGTCAGAGGCCTTTCCAGGAGGCCTCTGCAGCTGAGAACTGAGCTGTGGATTCAATCCGTAGCTCAGTTCTCAACTGCTGAGGCCTTCCGGAAAGGCCTATGATTCTGAAATGCAGGCCAGAGCTCCATTCTTAGCTGCAGAATGAAGCTGCTCCTTCAGCTGCAGAAGTTGGCCAGCTAGGCGGGACTGTTGATGCCGCTGCCACTGCAAGGTGAGTGGAAAAGACACCCCAAAAAAATAAGACCCGACACCTCTTTTGGAGGCAAAAAAAATTAAGACCACGTCTTATTTTTGGGGAAACACAGTAGTAGGGCAAAAGAAATGGGTTCATATGGATGGAATTAGACGATGATTTGCAATATTCAATAAATTCTTTAACTGAATATCTTTTGTAAAAGTTTCCAGTTATAAAACTGAACTTCTGATTAAAAAAAAAAAATCTGTTGTATGGTAGTTGTATCTAAATAAGTCTGATAAAGGCTATTTGCTTTGAGAGAATTGTAGTGCACTTTTCATTATCTATTTATTCACAGAGTGTAAAATAAACTTTGCCTTGTGGTAAAATAAATCATTAAAAAATTGGTTTATTTGTGAACCACATATTTTGTTTTTAATAGTGTAATAGTTTTTATTATGAATAATATGATAATTGCAAGCATGGACCATTATTTTTGATCAATGAGGTAATTCTCCTACAGATGGATAGAGAACAATGATGTAATTTTTATTACGTTATCAAAGAAAGTGACCTTGAGAAATATTAGATGATAGGAGTAAGAACATTGTTCTTAAAATGTTCCTTTAATAATAATATTTAATTTAGTGGCAAACTGAAGGCAGTTTAATTATCATTCAAGAGGTACATTTTTTATAGTAAGACAGTGCTTTTAAGTGATCTGATATTTCATCATTTTTTTGTTTTTACTGTCTTAATCATAATTCCTGCATAAAGATTGTTTCCATTTACTTGAAACAACTCAAAATTGTTTAATATTCATAAGCATTATATATAGAAATGTTTGTTGCATTGAATGAACATGGAGAGAATTGTGAGAAGTGGTGCTGAATCAAGTTTGTGTGGCAATTAAGCATGCCTACATGGAACTAAGTGCTATGAAAATTACTCATATTCTATTCAAGTAAGGGTGTAAATGGTGGAAAATTGCCTTGCATGTTTTCATGGACAGAATAGGATCCTTATGTTCCTTTAGGAACTGTTCTAAGGGCTCAACAGAATAATTGAAATATGTTAGATTTCCGGTTTGCCATCATGGCCACTGCGGACACTGGAAGGTGAGCTCCATCTTCCTTGTTCAGTTTTGCTCTGCTGGGGGACCCTGGAAAGGATCGAGAGTTGCCCTGTAGGGGCGACAAGCAAGGAGGGGACCCCCATGTGATTGCAGGAGGGTGGAAGCCCTTCCGCTAGATCCGGGGCAGCCCTCTAAACCGGTGGACGAAAGACCGGCCATAAAAATATGGCTTGTCACTAGGCTGCAGACAAAGTCAAACTTACCACCAGGCACTTCTGAAACAACACAGATGAGACTGGGTGAGATCTGAACCTCTCTTCAATCCCAAGTATTTTCTTTTCCTATAAAAGCTGCCCAAAACATCTTCCCCCCTGTGAGAGGGAACTTCTATCCCACCCTCTAAAATTAGCGGCGACTGACTATCCAGGCGAGTTAAAACACTGAAAGAATAACCTTACTCTAACTGGATTTATATGCTTCTAAAATTTGGGAACCAAAAGATTTCTTATCTTTACAGAAGACTTCGGGTTTTATTTACAAAAAAGAAATAAAATTGGAAAAAGGATTATAAAAATTTGGGACTTAAAAAATCTTAAACAGTATTGGTGGCATCTTGTGGTCAAGTTTGATATTACAACTTGTTATTGTCTAAAGGAGACTTGGCTTAAAGCCCAGATTATAGATAAGACTTTTTCAACCTTGACAAATACTAGCTGTGAGAAGCTCAGCTGTGTCCTATACCCAGTTATAAAATTATTTTCATTCTCTGACTTTAAAGCCCTCAACTTAACACACCATCAAGAGAATATGGATGAAGACCAGGAACAGATTCTTTTTATGTTGAAAGCAATACATGAAACCATTCTTTCAGCTTGTGATGAAATAAGATCCTACAGAAAAGAACAAGGTGTCAGCCTAGATATATGAACCCAAATTTTGACCATAATTAAAGAATCAACTATGCAGAAGATAACAGAAGAGGTGGAACAATTAAATACTATGATAGAGGATTCAACTGACCAACAAACACAGTCAATGGAAAACCCAGAAAAGAGATTAACAACACTGAAGATGGAAAAGACTTTCTATATAAATCAGAAGAAATTTGAGGAGCAAGAAGAAGAACAGACCGAAGGGAAGACAAACATATCAGGACAACTATGGGGATTTGGAATAATAGAGAGACAATTTGTTAGCTCTTCCAAAAAAATGGCGACTGGATGGTCTCTCTTATTTCAAATAATATATATAACAACAGAGGGAGATCTATTTGATGACTTAAAACCAACTGACATGATATAATAAGAATTGTATTAGTTCAAATATGAGACAGTAGATATTAAGGGAAAAAGAGAGGAAATATTTGGATGTGGTACCTTGAGATTTGTACTAAAGATTTTTCTATGCTATTGAATTATCGATTAACCCAACCACCACGTTGCTTTTTAAATACTTAAATGTAAAATTAGAAAATTAATAAAATACTACAAAAAAGAGTAATTGAACTGTTAAACTGTAGCTAATTGCATGTATTACATGTATTGACAGAAAATAGGTGAATCTTCAGTAAATAAGGACTTACACTGACGAAGTAAAAAAAACCCTTATTAATAAAGTAAGTTAGTAACAAACAGTTCTATCTAAATGTACTGCAATAAGAATATCAAAAGTAGTGAGGTACAAGTTAAGTACTAATCATGCTGGCCGAGAATTTTGGAAATTGTACTCCCAACATTAAAAAACCCTGATCCAATTTTAGAATTTTATATTCTAATTGCTGAATAGCCAAACAAAGAGGATTGATGTTCAAATTTGTTTTTATTGATTTATTTATCCAACTTATATGTTGCTCATCTCACAATGTACATCACTCCAAAGCATCAGTGTTTAAACTCAGAGGACACTATATAACACAACAATATTTGAACAGAAACTTTCTCTCCATCCCTAGAACTAAAGATAGGCCTCAATTTACAACAGTCGATTTAGTGACTGTTTGAAGTTACAACAGCACTGAAAAAAGTGACTTTTGGTCCCTTTTCACACTTACGACCATTGCATTATCCCCATGGTCACCTGATCAAAATTCAGACGCTTGGGAACTGGCTCATATTTATGACCATTATAGTGTCCTGGGATCATGTGATCACCTTTTGTAACCTTCTGACAAGCAAAATAAATGGGAAAACCAGATTCCCTTAACAACTGTGTTACTAATTTAACAACTGCAGTGATTCACTTAACAACTGTGGCAAGAAAGATTGTAAAATGGAGCAAAATTCACTTAAATGTTTCACTTAGCAACAAAAATTTTGAACTCAATTGTGTGATCATAAGTTGAGGACTACCTGTATTTGCAGTAGTTAGAGACCATGGTTGGGGACTTTTTGCAGTGAGGAATTAGCAATATTAATTAACACCGATGGTTTGTGTTATACCTGGATTTTAAAAAGATCAGGTATTCAAGAATGTACATAATTGTATTTGATCTGATTGTGTAAATATCCGGTACATCTCAGGATAACTATTGCAGAAAAGAGGCAAAAAAATATTGCTGTTGTTCTAACAACTGCAAAACCTAATTGTACATGCACTTTCAAGCTTTTCATGATTCATAAAAAATTCTTTTGGAGATTTTTATGTTATTTTAGCTACTATTTTACTCTTGTTCAGATTTTTTATTATTTATGTCAATAATTAAAAAAATTGTTATGGTATAATTGTATCATAGTATGAAATTATGAGCCACTTAAAAATTCTTTAAAACTATTGGATATTTTTTATTCGGATACAATAGCCATTAATACATGAAGAAAAATAAATATTTGTTAATAAGCTTTCTTCCTTTACAAGGTATTAAGAAAATAAGAAAATAAGGTAATATACATTATCTTCTTCTTGCAGGTGAGAAGCGTAGATGGTCTGCAGATATATTTGAAAACCAAGCAGAAAATTCTAAAGAAGATTGTTCAGTGTGATATGGTAAGCATACATACATTTCCCTTCTTTTAATAACATTTGTATTTACCAGGAAATACCATTATCTTCTAATTATGATGAGCAAAGATTAGAAGTGAAAAAAAAACTATAAGAATTTTATTCTAATTTAACATACATAATCTGTGATTTTGCTTTCTACACAAAGACTTAATGTGAGAGTCATGGGGGCGGATATGTATTTTTCTCTTGAGAGGGCAGGACACACACTATATGGCTACAATTATATTTTTACAACCCTGTGAAGCCTAAGATCTCATGACTGAGATATGGAAGCAAAACAACTATTTTCAGTGACATATTTTTTTTTTTCCTGTTCATAGCATGGAACACTAATCTCTGGATTTCTGCTAGGCTCTTGCCATTGATTCCTCTTTTCTAAAGAACCTCAACAAATGCCCAAAATCAACTGAAAAATTCGACCCAGCAACCTATGACTTTTGGAGGCCAACTTATTTTTTTAAAAGAGTAAAAGAAAGGGAAGAATGAGTATGATATATGAATGTCCACATTCTCTTGTTGCATTCTTTCTTACGTCAATGGTGCCGTTAACACTGATCTACTGATCTGTCTGAAAGAGAGTTCAGGTAGTAGATTATTATTTGAACAGCAGCAGCTGGTAACACAGTTTAAAGGATTGATGCGTTGCAAGATCTGTTTATAGTTATTTTAAGGTTCAAATTCTTGCACTTCTTTCAGTTCCCATGCACTATAATGGTTGGAAATCAGTCTTCTTTGGGAAGGGCAGATGGTTTGTATTTGTTTATTGCTTTATTAATGGCTTAATCTGGTATTGGATTTTTTTCTTGTGAACGTGAAACAATTGGCTCCTCTGCATACCATAATCAATGACACTGAACACCACCACTTCTAAAAGAACTAGGAGAGCTATCTCTGATATCTTTATACATATCTTAATTTTTTAAAAAATATTCCTTTGAACTAATTATTTTGAATTCCACTAAGAACTGAGGACTGAAGTTTGTTTCTATTCTTCAAATTTAAGCCTGTGATTCTGGCACACATTTTATATTTTCTTTAGTCTGGAGCTATTTGGATTTATAAATTAGCAGCTAAAACACCAGCAGTCTATAGTGCTCCAGTTCTTTTATTAAGTATCCCTGTTTTTTATTCACTTCCATTATAAATCTAAAAATAGCTGCACTTTCAATTAGCAATGGAAGTTGTATACCAGGTTGTAATAAGAAAGACTCTCTTCTTCCAAAGTTAGTGTTTAATTCTACATTCTGACCAGGAAAAAGATGAAGCTATCATGTGATTGGGTATCAGCATTAAAAAGAGTTTTGTAACTGACTCAGAATAATTTATTGAACACAAAATCTAGTAATTTAGCACTATTTTAAATGTTGTTGAAATATATTTTGTAGCTAAACTGTGCAAGTGGCAATGGGCTGAATATTCATTTTTCTAATTATAACTTTAAATTTCAGTTTATAATATATGTTGCCAGGAAAAGTATTTCCCAATTCTTAAGTATTCAAACTAAGTTTGAGCCTGAGAGATAACATTATGTTTAATGCTACTGATGAATTCATAAGTGAGACAAAGGTTTTTTAATTGCTCACCTTGAATACTATTACTCTACTACAGTGGTGGCGAACCTATGGCACGGGTGCCAGAGGCGTCACTCAGAGCCCTCTCTGTGGGCATGGGTGCCATCGCCCCAGTCCTAGGCCTTCAGCTGGGTTTTATAAAACCTTTTCACTTTAGACCTCCGCTGCCGTGTGCAAAAAAAAAAAAAAAAGTTCAATCAGTCAATTTCAACTTCTCGCGGGAAAAAAAGATCTTGCAAAGTTGGAATTGATTGATTGAACTTTTTAGTCTCACCCAGTCTGCCGTTACCACTGCAGCCACGCCCACCCAATTGGCCACGCCCACCCAATTGGCAACACTCAGCCAATGGGTCACACCCACCCGGCATTCGATGATGCATAAGTGGGTTTTGGGTTGCAGTTTGGGCACTCGGTCTCTAAAAGGTTCGCCATCACTGCTCTACTAACTCACTTGGTTAAGACTTATAATACTATTTTAAATGAATTATAAAATGTACAATTATGGAAATAATTCTGGAGCTATTTGGAATGATAAATTAGCACAACTTTTACTTGACAAGAAGTTGAAAAACAGTATACAAATTTGTCTTCATGCAGTCTGAATCAAATACACATTTGAAGGCTGCTTATTGAATTAATATCCAATGGGAAGGGTATGGAAGGGTTTACTAAGGGTGTAAATTGGAGGGTTTACTAAGTGTAGCTGTTTTTCAATTTTCTCATATGTAGAATTGAGTAATAGAACTTTACTCTGTTTCTTAAAAGTTTTTGTAACATTTAGCTGTGTGTGAAGTTAGCATTGGGTCCCTTAGGCCCATTATGGGTCAGCGTTTTCAAAGCATGAATATAGTAAATTAGGAATCATATTTTATGTACAAGTAAATTCCAGTTTCAAAATTATGAGTTTGCTATATCAACAAATCCTTCATTTATTGCAGTAAGGGGAAAATAGATTGCTCAGTGCAATATTTATTTTGACGCATGGCCAACTGATGTTACTCTTGCATAAGTGGGTTTCTTTCCTGTTAACTCTTTGATGCTGTTCAGTAAAAAAAAATCGTGTCTAGGAAATAGCTCAAACGCAAGCAAAATTTCATGCTTTAATTTTGTCTTCTATTATGAGGAATTGCCTCAGATATTGTTAGACTTAAAGTTTGGGTCCTTTCTTCGTTACTTTTTGAAGTTGTACTTCTACACAGTACTAAACTAAATATTAGATATAAGTCCCCCAAAGTTTGCCTATCCCTAATATAAACATTATTCAAGTATAGTTGCCATATTCCACTTTATGTTCCTTTATTTTCTAGATGCATTCTTCATAATTGTGCAACATCGAATCACATCTCACATTATCATTGTGAGATGATAATCAGGATATTCTATAGGACCAGAGTTTAATGACCTTGCTACTTTGCTGTGGTGAACAGTGAACTGATATGTGATAAACTAGATTAATTCAAAAAGTAGGATCATAAAGTTCTGCTTTCAGTCCAATTAAAAATAAAATGCTGAAATCCATTTTCTTTTGTCCTTGTGGGATATTTCAAATTGTGGGGACAAACACTTATGTTTTATATGGGGGATGTCTGAATTCTGCTGGCTGGCAAGGGAACAACATTCACAATGAGTACATACTGCAAAATGGGTACTGCTAAGGGAACAATCTGACCAAGCATTGGTTTGTAGCTGGTTATATCCTTCATATAGCTACCGTACTTTCCGGCGTATAAGACGACTTTCGCAAGCTTTAAAATTGGCACCGAAGATGGGGGTCGTCTTATACGCCGAGTCATCTTATACGCCGGAAATAACGGTAGTTTCTGGCATATAAGACGACTTTCTAGGCATGCAACCCGGCGCCAAAGACGGGGGTCGTCTTATACGCCGGGTCACCTTATATGCTGGAATATACGGTATGTTAGAAATGTGCAAACATTCCTCCTCTCCAATAGCTACTTTGGGAGAAAGTGTAAAATACATCCTGAACATTGCAGATAGGTCCTTCAACCCTCAAAGTTGGATTAATTGATAGCCACTTAAGCCTATAAACAAAACTGAATATTTTGAATCATTTCCTGTTGTAAACTGTTGGGTTTAGTAAACTTCAAGATACTATAAATCTGTATGCCAAACTTTACTGTGATTTTATTATGAGCAGTGAAACAATTAAAAGTTCTGACAAGTTAATCTTGTCATAATAGTACATACTAGAATGCTTCTGCACCATAATAATAGCAACGTGGTGCAAAACAGTTGGATGGTAAAAGTTATGAGCTTCCAGTGTGCAGAAATAAAATCCTGTCTTATCCAATACTTAGTCAGAATTGATAAACATTATGTAGATGCAGAGATTAAAAAACACAGGTGACACAGATTCTTCTTAATACCTTAAATCTTAACAGTTTGGGCTGTTTAATTTTGTTCTTGTGTTTTGCTTCCAACAAGTGTCAAATATTACTGTTATGCTTTGTGCAGTCATTGACACATTGTTGTGTTTGTGTAGCTGTTCTAGATTAGAAGCAGCAAAAGAATAAATGTTGGAGAAAGATAAATTGTCTCTTGATCACAAGTGAGATTAAAGAGCTTTCTTTTTTCTTTCTCTTATCTATTCAGTGTTGTGTTATAAAATAAGCCAGTTAAATAATACAACAACACAAAACCAAAATGAACCAGGGAGTGTAAAATTGGTTCTCTCTGCTTAGTACTCTTCATGGCTAATAATAACACTGATGAATCACAGCCGTGTAAGGAAATATGGTTGTGATATTTGAAATTACAGTAAGGTTTACAATGAAAAAAGCACTGTCCAAATTAGGATTCTAAATACTTAATGAATTGTGTGTAAGGTTCAGTGTGCATGGTTGCACTATTAGTGATTCTGATATGTAAATTTTCTCTTGTTTATTAAAACAAAAGATAAAAATATTGCTTTATTTTTAAGAGAAAAAAATGCATTTTCTTGTTAGCATTAGTTACAATTTGAGCTAAATCTCTGTGAATATAGATTAACTGTCAGGTGTAATAAAAGAGAGGGGCAACACTTTTGTAAAATTGATGAGATTGCAGAGTAAGAAGGATTTTCTTCTAAATTTGAAGTGTGGTTGGATATGTCATTTTTTTAAACAAGAATTTGAGAAGTCTTCAGGTTTCAGAGTACACTAATCACAGCGCCTAGGGAATGATTTCAAAGTATAAAGCTTTGGGGGAAAGAAATTGACAGATTCCATATAATTGAGTGAGGTGCAGAACTCAACTCTTGACACTTTCTTATCAACAAGTGTCACATGGTTGGTGTAAGAGTGGTAAATAGAATATAATTAATTGAATTTTGATGAAGTAAGTTATAATTTTACTGTCCTTTATGAAGAGCTGTTGTTAAGAATCCAAAAAGAAACTGAGCTGTTCAGGGTA